TTCTGAATGCACTTGTTTTCAGTATTAAGAGCACTATTAAAGTAAATGTACAACCTATATTATTATTCAATAAAGATACAGCATAATTAGACTCAGAGTCAAAACTCAGGGCATTTCCTAAAAGATTGCAAACATCTGTAAGGTAAATCATACTCAGAAAAATAACAAAGCGATACACTGACACTTATCCATTTCTTTCTATTTTCATTTATGTCAAAACGTTTCAATGCAAATGCTTTGGAAAAAAAAACTTGCTTCCTAATGAGAAGTAGCTAGGGAGCTTAATGTCCAGCACGTATTTATTGAGCATGCGCTATGTGCAAGGGGACTGCGATGATCAAGACAAAACAGACAACAACCCTGCCCTCTCAGAACTCACATGTGAGTCAAAACACATACAGCGCCTGGGTAACCTAAAATCTGACAAACGTATTTGTGCTCAAATTTTCGGAACATACTGCTAGAAATAAATAGTGAAGAAATGGATGGAGTAAGATGCTAATGGGAAATAGGGGAATAGCAATGACTGTGTGGGTGACTTGCCCTCAGTTTCCTCCTTAGTTATTTATGACTATCATTTCTGTAATACCGTACAAATCTGGTAATTTAACTGCAAAAAGCAACACTACCTTTACAGTAAACATCTATGACTAAGATATGGTTGAAGAATATAGTAGCTTTCTCACCAACATCTTTAAATCCCTTGGCCCTTTCATCATATTTGCTTTGCAAAACCATAGCCATGGGGAAGACCAACTCCCCACCACCTCTGCACCTACAGTCATGAAGCCAAAAGTGGCCAGAGTCAAAACTCAGGGCAAATAAAAAAATATCTTTTTTTTATTTAATTGAATTTATTTATTTATTTATTTATTTATTTGAGAGGTTTTGCTATAGGGCATGTGCATTCGCTAGAAAGACAGAGAGACAGAAAGCGAGAAATAACCCCTTAGGGGAGATGGCCATGCCGCAACTCTTCTCCATTCTCCTCTTGGGATCTTGGGCACGCATGCACATGCATTTGGCATGAGTTTAAGCCACTGGATCCGGGACTCGAACCATAGTCGACTACATGGGAGTCCAGCGACATAGCCATTACGCTAACTGCTGATCCCTCTTTTTTTATTTTTAAGAGGGATTTTTTTCTATAGGGCATATGTGCTCACCAGAGAGAAAGGGAGAGATAGAAAGTGAGAAGTCACCCCCTGGGGGGTAAGGCCATGCCACAATCCCTTCTCCTCCCTTCTCCTCTCGGGATTTTGGGCACACATGCACACGCACTGACATGAGTTTCAAGCCGCTGGGTCTGGGACTCAAATCATGGTTGACCACGTGGGAGTCCAGCAACATAACCATTACACCACCTGGTGGTCCTAAGCGACCATCTTAATGATGTCTGTGAATAGCAGGTGCACCATTAAATCAGCACAGCAATCGCACCGTATTTCCTACTTGCTCCTCACATGTTCTCCTCTCTTTCTTCAAACCACCCAATAGCCTCGGCCCCATCCTTGCTTTGAGCTGCTCTGACTTTGCGTCCTACTGAAGAGCTGGCATCTGTGTCCATGCACCCTGTCTTCCATCTGCTGCTACAGATATCTGGTCGTGCGCTCACTGAGCTGCTCGGCTCCTCCCTCCCCCTCAGCTCCAATTTCCACCCCCAACCTCATCAACGGCATCGCTCTAGCAAGTGTCTCTCTTTTGCCTACATTGTCAATTTTTCACATCTGTATTTTTTTTCATCTTACAAAAAACAAACAAACAAACAAACAAAAAATTGACTCTGCATTTGCTCACAGCATCTCATTTCTTTGTCATCTGTATCAAAACTTCACAAATGAGTTATCTACATTCACTGCCTCCAATCTCTCCCTCCAACTTTCTGCTAAGTCCACTCTAAGCACAGTATTGCCTTCAATGCCCCATCATTGATCTTACAAACTTCGCCAGAGATCTCTCTGCAGTGTGAGATCTAACAGCCCATGTTGAGTCCTCTCACTGGTCTACGCCCCTCAGGGACAACACTGGTCACTCTCCCCTTTTAGGACACTGTCCTTACTTGGTACCAGGACACAACAATCTCTGGGGTTTTCCTTCTGTCTCACTGATGGCTGCTTCTTGACTCACTGGTTTCTGCTTTTTTAACCTTTTACCTGCATACAAGGCTTCATCACTGGTCCCTTCCCTTTTCTTTTCTTTTTTTTTTTTTTTTTTTTTTTGAGAGGTTTTCGCTATAGGGTGTGTGCACTTGCCAGACAGAGAGAGACATAGAGGCAGAAAGCGAGAAATCACCCCCCAGGGAGGATGGTCACGCCACAATCCCTTCTCCTCCATTCTCTTCTCGGGATCTTGGGCACACACGCACAAGCGCCCGGTATGAGTTTAAGCCACTGGGTCCGGGACGTGAACCGCTGGTTGCCTTCCCTTTTCTATCCACCCCTTCTCCTCTGGAATCTCAACCCATCTTTTGGCTTTCAAAAAGTGCTGCTCAGCCCTATCCTATGCCTTCAGCCCTGACCTCTCTCCCAAACTCCAGATTCACCTATGACATTTTCTGTCCCACACCTACTTGGATGATAGCCTACATGTGAGGTGTGCGAATGTCCAAACTCCACCTCCTGATCTCTCTCCCATGCTGACTCTAGCCAAAGTGCTCCCACTTCGGGTCATGTAAATTCAATCCTTTTGAGGGCTCAGGCTAAAAGTTTTGGAGCAATCCTTGACATCTCTCTTCTTCTCATGGCTTACATTCAATCTGGTAGAAAATCTTGTACTCTTGGTCTTCAGCCATTAAATGTATTTTGAACACATCGATATGCTCCTCCCATTGTGCCACCCTGGCCCACGCCAACCTCTCTCTGGGTCATTGCAACCGGCTCCTGACCAGGCTCCCTGTGGCTGCTCTTGCCCCCCTGGTCACCTTCAAGGCCAGCCAGAAGAGTCCTGTTCACAGCAAATCAAGCATGTCAGTCCTCTGCTCAGAACCCTGAAATGGAGCCAGCAAGTGGCATAGTAGTTAAACCGCTGGACTTCCAGTGTAGGTGACCACAGTCTGAGTCCCAGACCCAGCAGCTTGAAATTCATGCCAGGCACATGTACGTGCATGCCCAAAATCCCAAGAAGAGAATGGAGTTAATAGGACTGTGGCACGGCTATCTCTCCGGGGCTGGGGTACGGCGGGGGAGATTTCTTGTTTTCTGTGTCTGATAAGCACATGTGCCCTATAGCAAAATCTCTTTAAGAAAATGGAAATGACTTTCTATTTTCCTCCAACAAAAAGCCAAGGTTCTAGTAAGTCTGACATGATCACTCCCTGGTTACTTCTGGTTACTTCTGCGACCTCATCATCCCCTCCCTTTTTCGTTCTCATCCAGCCACACTGCCCTCTTTCCTGGACTTGAATATTCTGGGAAGAAAGATGATATTGAAAAGTTGGCAAGATTCTTGGTCAGTGTGCCTGGTACACAGAGATTGACGTGAAACGGCAAAGGTAAAGCTAGACGGAGAGCCGGGGCCAGGTGGGGAAGAGTGTTGGAGGCTACAACAAGGACTTCAGATTTTATTTCACCGCAGACAGAAATTCACTGATGGGCTTTTGTCAGGTAAATGTTGATCTGGTTTGTATTAAAAAGATCTCTAAGCACATTGAAATTTTCACAAACTGAGTATAAAAGGAAAAAAGAATTAGGAAGCTATAATAGTAATGCTGGTAAAAACACAGCAGTAATTTAGACCACAAAAGTCAGCTTCTCCTATTTTAAAAGCTGAGCCACGGGCCAGCCAGTGGTATAATGGTGGAGGCGGCTGGACTCCACATGGCCAACTCTATGGACTGAGTCTTGGACCCCAGCAACTTGAAAAGCATGGGTGTGTGTGCATGTGTGCCCAGAATCCTGAGGGGAGAATGAAGGAGAGGGGATTATACCACGGCCATCATCCAGAGAGAGTGAGTTCACTTTCTCTCTCTCCTCTCTGTCTCTCTCTCTCTCTCTGGTGAGTGCATGCGCCCTACAGGGGAAAATAAAAAAGAAAAGCTAAAAGGATTGCTTATATAGTTGTAAGATAAAGACAAAAATAAATTAAGATTGAATGTCTCTTACATAAAATGCTTAGATTGAGAAGTGTTTCAGATTTAGGATTTTTCCCCCCAGATTTTGTAATATTTTCATATATGTGAGATTTATGGGGATGCGAGCCACGTCTAAACACACAATGCATTATGTTTCATGTACAATTTATGCACTTAGGTTGAAGGTAATATTATACAACAGTTTTGCACCGCAACATTTTGGCTACCATCTATCACGAGGTCAGGCATAGAACTTCCCATCGGAGGCATCATACCGGTGATTCAAACATTTCAGATTTCGGAGCATTAGGATTTCAAATGTTTGGGTTAGGGACACTTCACCTATATTATAAAACTGCCTGATATTTCATTGCAAACATGGCCAGATTTAAAAGCATCTTAATTTAGCTAAGAACTTCCCAAAATGCTAAAAACAAACTTGCACTCCATTCATTCAACCTCCGTATAAATCTAATTTAACACTTAATTAAATGAGTTAAAAATAGGCGTAATTGCTGGGAAATATTCTTCTATATAGGAAAATGACATTAAGCCTGAAAGTTCAGTGGTAGGTATTATTTGATATAATACCTTCTTTTGGGATATCTGCTATCCATATGGTGGCATTCCTACATTAAGTCAATAATTTAAACATTTATGAGCCTCAGTAGTTTAAGTGTGGAAACAAGAAACAGAGTAAGAAGAATTGTGACTGAGAAAACTTCCTGTGACCATGACCAAGTGACCAGTTCACAAAGGAGACGGATCATCATTGCAGGATGGAGCCTCGGCAAAGGGCAAAGTCTTCCTCTATACCCATCAGGGAGGCAAATGCACCCGAAGCGCCTCGGGTATAGACACAGCGCTTTACTTTCACAAAAGTCACTGATCGCAACTAAAACAGAACTAAAATATTTCTGAAACGCCTTACTCTGGCAGCAGAAGCAAAAGAGTCAGGGCCATGAGCTGCGTTTCTTATGCCGTCTGTTCCAAAGAGGGCTCTGATGCTTCCAGGAGCATCTGTACGTGCGACCCCAGAGTTCGCAGGCCCGAGCAGCCTTTTCCATTCACAGATAGCATCGTCTCTTAAAATCTCCATGGCAATAACGGGACCGCTCGTGATAAACTGGATCAGCTCACTGCAAAACAGGTGAAATATTGATTTGCTTTCTCTATCGACCTAGGCATTTCTATTAACAAAAGGATATATTTCAATTTGAACATTTCAACATCAACATGAAAATTATAAATATGAACAATTCAACACGGTGGATTTTACGTGGGCAGGATAAAATTTTCATAAATTCAGTGTTTTGTAATGGTCCAATCCCATAAATACTAGGGATGCCAAGTCAATTACTGTTAGAAGAAAAATCACTGGTTTTGTGAAGTATGAATATTTCATTTACTTAAAATGCATATTGTTATCCTATGCTTTTGCTGTTGCTCTGTAAGGTACAGAACTTTCCTTTTTATTTTCATGTATTTTATCATTATAGTCCAGTACAAATTTAGAGTATAAAGAGTGACATCTTAGAACCAGTTGTTAGCGTAATGGCTATGTCACTGAACTCCCATGTAGCTGACCACGGTTTGAGTCCCAGACCCGGTGGCTTAAACTCTCGCTGGGTGCGTGTGCGTGCGTGCCCAAGATCCCAAGAGGAGAATGGAATCACCTTGGGTGGTGATTTCTCACTTTCTGTCTCTCTGTCTCTCTCTGTCTTTCCGGCGAGCACACGTGCCCTATAGCAAAAACCTCTCCAAAAAAAAAGAGTGACATCTTGTAACATGTTTTCAGCAAGAACTTATTTCATATTTTTATGTAAATTGTTAGAATTTAAAGACTAGTCAGAATTTTTTATCAATAAACAATGAGTAGGTTTAGTGATCAAGAAAACATGTCAGGCCAGGAGGTGGCATAGAAGTTGAGGCACTGGACTCCCATGTGGCCAACAGCAGTTCAAATCCCAGACCTGGCAACTTGAAAGTCACACTGGGTGTGCCAAGAGGAGAATGGAGGAGAAAGGATTGCGGCATGGCCATCACCCCTGTGGGGTGATTTCTCACTTTCTGTCTCTCCAGAGAGCGCACGTGTCCTATAGCAAAAATCTTTCAAAAAAAAGGAAAAAAAAAATCAACAGCACTTCAAGAAACACTCTTTAGTTAGTGTGAGACCTGGACAGGGTTATTCCTTTCTTACATTATGAAAGCATGTGCGTAGGTTCTTGATTAAAAACCCAGCACTGTGCCCCGGTCCAGAGCCATGAATACAATCCGTCATTTCATAGGTCCACTTCTTTGTGTATGCCACAGATATCCTAAAGTCCAGCTGATACAGAAATTTCAAACAGAGTAGCACAAGCCTACGACATGGATGTCCCACAGAGTATGGGGAACAGTGCGTCTGACCTAAGGTGCTGCTTCATTAAACAATTTCCAATTATTGCAGCTACTCTTCTGTTATGTCCTTCCCATATTTAAAAACCAGTTATTTTACCAAATTTAATAAAATTTACTGCATATGAATTACATATAAGACATTGAACAAGGAATTGTAATTCAGTGCTAGACACAAACAAAGAATATTGTCTACCAATTTCCCAGAAAATTGTATATACCTATCCTAAACAGGCTGTGGGATATTTTATAAAGCTGGATTTTAAATAACAGACTCCATAATAATTTTGAAAAATAAAACTTAGAGGAAAAAACCCACTACTCTGTGCAGTGTACTAAATGGCATGTCTATTATAGCAGCTGGACTAATAGAACATTCTTCCTTATTAGAAACGCAATCATTCCTTCATCAAAAGTAATCTGAGGGACCAGCAGTTAGCATAATGGCTATGTTGCTGGACTCCCATGTAGCCGACTACAGTTCGAGTCCTGGACCCGGTGGCTTAAACTCACGCTGGGCACATGTGCGTGTGTGCCCAAGATCCCAAGAGGAAAATGGAGGAGAATGGACTGTGGCATGACCATCCCTCCTGGGGGGTGATTTCTTGCTTTCTGTCTCTCTGTCTCTCTCTGTCTTTCCGGTGAGTACATGTGCCCTATAGCAAAAAAAAACTCTCCAAAAAAGAAGTAATTTGAACATGTACAGTAGTCATGTAACGACATAGTGCCCTATAGCAAAAAAAACTCTCCAAAAATGAAGTAATTTGAACATGTACAGTAGGCATGTAACAACATCCCAAACATTGAGAATACAGACTCAGGTTCTAACATATACTATATTTCAAGGAACAAAATACATATAAAACACTTTAGTTGAAATGTAAGACTTCTGTGACCATTGTTTTATATAGGAAGACTAGCAAAGTAAGAGTGTAAAAAGCACAACAAACATCTTCAACATAAGATATAATTATCACTATATTTTTTAATCAACCAAAATCTAGAAAGAAACATATGTTCCTTGTAATTTAAATAAATCATCCTATTTGCTTCTGACTGAAGTGTAACATATTTAATCATAAGAGGTAAGGATTTTTATCCAATAAAAGGGTAGAGGGAACAACTCTTAGAAACAAATCTGTGCAGCCCCAGGATCCTTCTGCGGGCTTTCTGACAGGTTATTCTGCGTCACAACTGTAAATACGACCCTTCCCGTTTCAATGGTCACCTCTACTGCGTATCACTAGACCCCAAGTTAAACACCTACTTAAAAAAGGGCCTCGACTGGTGGTCTGCATGAAAATCTGTTGCTTCTTTCCTGTAAAATAATCAAGATGACATCAGTTAAGATTTCATGTAGGAAAATAATTATTATTTTAGCTTATATTAATGAAATAAAGATGAAATCCCCTAAATTTATATTTCTTTGATCTGTATGTGAAACACTTCATAATTTTTCACCAGTCTGTCAAATATATCCTCTTAAAATGTTTGCCAATATCGGGACCAGCAGATGGCATAATGGTTATGTCACTGGACTCCCACATAGTCTACTGTGGTTTGAGTCTCAGACTCAGTGGCTTAAAACTCATCGCAGGCACATGTGCATGCATGTGTGCCCAAAATCCTGAGAGGAGAATGGAGGAGAACGGTCTGGGGTGTGGCCATCCTTCTGGGTGATTTCTCACTTTCTCTCTCTCTGTCTCTCCAGGAAGCACACGTACCCTATAACAAAAATCTCTATTTTAAAAAATTACCAGTATGAGTCATATTTAAACTAACATAAACAATTACAAAGACCAGATGGTGGCATGGCAGTGACATAACTAGCTCACAGGGAAACATCCCAGGCTTGTGTCCTGGGCTCTCCCTCAGTATGGCCAGCACACAGGTACCCATCATACTAGCTGGCAGAAGCTTGGGGTGGACTGTGATGTCCAAACCCATTTCAGAGCTCCTGTCTGACTTTCTGTCTCTCTCATGAAAGAATTAAGTAAATAAACCTTAAGTACATGAAAATAAAATTATCAAAAATTTTAAAACATGAGGCAAATCACTTTTCTACTTATGTAACATATCATCTATTTTTCTTTTCACCAGTGTCTCTAACATTCTAGAAACAAAGGTTCAAATTCGACAAATAAGAACATTTGGTAAAGTCCAAACAAAAAAAAAAAAAAAAAGAAAGAAAGAAAAAGAAAAAGAAAAGCTACCTTCTAATTCTAAATCTGTCACCTTCCCTGGTCCATTCCTCACCTAGGGCCCGAGGACACCTCTCCCCCCCAATGGTTTCAGTTGCCTCTGCTGCTAACCACCCCTATTGGTCAGCAATGCCGTGCACCATGTGCACTTGGCACCCAGGATTAACAGTGCTGACTCTGACATTGCCATGACCAACCACCCCACCACCTTGACAGGTGGGACCTCTACTGCATGCCTTATCCAGGGCCTGAAAACACCAGCACTGCCACCAGCAGCCCTCAACCACAGGGCCCCTGTGCACTATGTACCCCTTGCCCAGAATCTGTGGTCACTCAGTAACCTCCACCTGCATCAGAGTCATACCATAGCCTCCACAATCACTTGCAGTACAGGACACTGAGTCACTCCCAGACACCTCTGACACCAATTACAATCAAAGCAGCAGAACAGAGACTATAGAACTGTGCCCGCCCAAAACCAAAGCCAAAGCATCCTACCCAACAACATGATAAAACACACCCACAGGAGAACGACTGCCATACAAAAGCCAGTCAATAAAATGGGAAGAGGCAACTATTATACCATGTTACACCATATGCACAGAGATCAGTGCACACATACATACACACACATACAAAAAAATCAAAAACAAGAAAACTTGACTATTTCAAAGGAACCGAACCTATTAATTCTTAAGTAATAGAAGAAGACTGAGTCTGCCATGAGAGCTGAGATCTAGTGATTTCAGAGATGAGAGCAATGAAGATGTTCTGCTGAGAATTTACCCTGGCAAGCAGAAAGGCAGGCCAGAAGAAGACTGAATCTGCCATGAGAGCTGAGATCTAATGATGTCTCTCTCTTTCTCTGTTTTCTTATCCTATTTCTTTTACCTGATCATTTTGCTGCTCAGCCTCCACCTACTGAGTGTCTAGACAAGTCTAAGTGAAAAGTTGCCAAAATCTGAATATTATTTGGGTCCTCATATTTCTCAACTCCCACTGAATTTGTGACACAAAGGGAGAAAAATGCAATGGCAAAGAGTTTGCAGACCACCCCCTCCTGTGCACCTCTGATCGCTCAGATTGATCTTCTAGAAATTAGGAAGAAAAAAATAACATATCAGATAACTAGAAATCACCTCAGGGGCACAAGATATGCGAAACCAAGAAAATACCTCATTCCCAAGGGAAAAGAGTAACTCCTCTTCCTCCACAGACAGTAAAATGGAAATCCTGCGGTCAGCCATCTCTATTACTTCTCCCATAATATGGTTGCTCCTCTGTCTTACATCTTACACTGTCATTGTAAAATCCATTTTGGTGTTTCAATTTTGGGATCCCAGGAAGGCATCCAGGCCTTTCTATCTGCCTAAGAATAATTTCATCCTCTGGCCTCAATCCAATCTGACAGTGAAACAGAATAACAGGTAAGAGGATCTCAACTTCTAGACACATCATGGCAGCTAGAGGCCAGAAAGAGATATGTCCCAAAGTCTCCTCTTGATATATTGGGTGCCTTCCATAAGAAGCAGATCCCACAAAGTGTCATGGGAAAAGCAATTTCAACCAAGAATACTGTACCTGGCTAGATTATCCTTCATATGGGAAGAGAAGACAAGGACATTCTCAGGTAAACAAAACCTGTAACAAAACCAGACCAGCTCTCCAAGAAGTTCTCAAGGGAGTTCTGTGCCAGGAGAACTAAATACAGACACACAGAAATAAGAGTTCAAAAACAGCTAAGAAAATGGCCAGCTTAATGGTAGTAACTAGTCCAGAGTTAAACGTTATCTTCCAGAATTTAAACAAAAAGATTGGACCACAACAGAAGATAAAGTACATGAGTTTGAATGGTGAAGTAGGATTTTATGACTTTTGACGAAAACATTATTGACCTTCTACGCTTTGTTTTCCAGTTTTAAGAAGTTTCTTCTACTCTCAAGTTGTGGACAGGTCTATGTACCTACTATTTGAATAGAATCCTAACCTGTTTCCTGGCTTTAAGTATTAGGCAAAGTACTCTTAACATTTTTTGATTTTGATTTATTAAAGCTAAAACTGCCTTTCTTGAAATTAAAAATGTATTTAAAAAATGCCTATTTAGTAACCACAGTAAGCTATATAGCCCCAGCTATGTGCTATTTTATAGTATATTCATTCTACCTAGAGTCTCATGCCTAAAGTCAACTTTTGTTCACAGATATGTATATATCAGCTGAACTTACTATTGAAAGTATTTAGATTAATTAAGATAGTTTGTGAATCAATACAATGTGGGAACTGAACTTGCTACAGAAAGTATTTAGGTTAATTAAGATATTTTGTGAATCAATATAATGTGGGAAAGAATAAAGAAATGGAAAGTAACTGCAGATACCAGAGACAAGGTGGGAGGAGGATGGGAAATGGCAGAGGGTGAGAAATAGGGGGAAAATAATATATATATATATGTATATATATACATATATACATATATATATATGAAACAAGAAATGGAAAATTATTTGTTGACAATAATTTGTATGATTAAGCCACTTTACAGTGTTTTCTGACTGGAAAATTGCATTTTGTATGCTGTGGTGATTTTCAGTGAAAGCATGTAAAATAAATAAATAGAATTTAAAAAAGCAAAAAAAAATATTCTTAAGTAATATATCCCCCAATGAAAAGAACATTTATGAAATGCCTGAATTCAAAGTAATGACCTTAAGGAAACACTATAAGACACAAGTGAATACAGATAATCAATTAAAGAAAATAAGAATAACAGTCAAAGATACAAATAAGAAACTCAACAAGAGATAGATAGATATTAAAAAAATAACCAAAGAGTAATCCTGGAATTGAAGAATTCAATACATGAAATAAAAATACACAGGAAAGGGGCCAGCAGATGGTGTCTGGACTCCCAAATGACCAATCGCAGTTTAAGTCCCAGACCCAGTATCTTGAAACTCACAGTGAGTGTGAGTTTGCGTGTGCATGTGTGTCTGAAAATTCTGAGAGAATAATAAAGGAGAAGGGATTGTGGCATAGCGATCCCTCCTGGAGGGTGACTTCTCACTTTATCTTTCTCCATCTCTCTAGCACGTGCATATGCCTTATAGTGAGACTATCTTAAAAAAAAAAGTAAATAAATACATGGGAGAACTTCAACAACAACTACATTAAGCAGACAAAAGAATTTCTGAATGTGAAGACAGGTCTTTTGAAATAACTCATTTGGACAAAAAACAAAAAACAAACAAAAAAACCATCAGGGAGGAGCCAAAGAAATAAAGGAATAGAGGAAAAAAGAAAGAAAGAGAAGAAAATGAATTCAAAAAGAATATAAAAGAAATAAAGGAATAGAGGAAAAAAGAAAGAGAAGAAAATGAATTCAAAAAGACTATAGAAAGATTATAGAACTATGGGACACCAAGTAGTGAACAAAATTTACATGTGAGAATTCCAGATTGAGAAGGGAAAGGGCACAGTAAGCCCATTTAATGAAATAACAACTGGAAACTTCTCAAGTGTTAGAAGGATAGCAGACATCTAGATTCAGAAAGCTCAAAGTTTGCTGAGTAGATCCAACAAAAACAAATCTCTCCAAGGTGCATTATAATCAAACTATAAAAAGTCAAAGGCAAAGAAAGAAACCTAAGAACAGCAAAAGAAAAGTGTCAAGTCACATATGAGACAATTCTTATTGTACTAACAGGAGACTTCCCATCAGACATCACATGGGCATGGAGAGATTGGGACAATCTACTTAAAATGCTGAAATAAAAAACTGCCAGCCAAGAACACTGCACCTGGCAGAGCTATCTTTCAGAATCAAAGGAGAAATAAAGAAATAAATTATCTTCCAATAAGAAAAAACAGAGAGAATTCATCACCACTAGACTGGCTTTACATGAAATATTTAATAAGGAAGTTCTACATATGGTAGCAAAAGGACAGTCATGACCATCATGAAAACTAAATTATAAAACTTACTAGCAGAACAAACACACAAGAAAGAAAAAGAGAATCAAATCTTACCTTTACAGAAAAATTGCCAAACCACAAAGATAAACAATAAGAGAAAAATAAAGGAACAATGGAAATATTTTTTAAAAAACTGACAGAAGTC